GTTGCGATCTGTTGCCGGTCACGAAAAAAGACAAAAAGGAAAAAAAAAAAAAAAAAAGCCAGGGGCTTTGGGATGGGGAATGACCAAAAAATTTTGGTGAGATTCTTTAAAGTGTGTTGTTGGGTGTAGACTCTGTTCATCCTTTTGTCAGTGACAGCTCTCTTGGTTGTTTCTTGCAGCCTGTGGGCCAAAGCTGACCAATTCCCCCACGGTGATCGTCATGGTGGGCCTCCCTGCCCGGGGCAAGACATACATCTCCAAGAATGTCAGTGACAGCTCTCTTGGTTGTTTCTTGCAGCCTGTGGGCCGAAGCTGACCAACTCCCCCACGGTGATCGTCATGGTGGGCCTCCCTGCCCGGGGCAAGACATACATCTCCAAGAAGTTGACCCGCTACCTCAACTGGATTGGTGTCCCAACAAAAGGCAAGGCTGGGGGAGTCTGCTGGGTGCTACGACCCTGCTGGCTGGTCCCCTGCATCCGCACAAACCTGACCTTCCATCTCTGGCTACTGGCGCTCACAGGCAGGACTCTCCTGGGCGGGTCTGTCCCCTGGTGGTGGAGTCGATCCTGCTTCCCACCCAGCTGTGTCCCCACCATGCTGGATCCACACCCTTCCTTTTATGTTGGGGTGGTTCTCTCCCCGGCGAACTCTGGCCACCTCAATTGGTGTGGACCTGTTTCCTTTACATCGTGCTTAGTTGTAATCCTCCTCTATGACTGTTCCAAAGTGCTCCGTGCCCTCGAGGACACTTTTATGAATCTCTGCTTGGTCTTTTCCCTAGATGGGCAGTGTCTTGAGGGTGGGGCTGGCTTTCACCTGTCTGCTCCCACTGTGCCCAGAGCAGTGCCCCTGACCTTGGCTTTGTTTCTTTTCCTGATGTGCAGTGTTCAACGTGGGGGAATACCGCCGCGAGGCCGTGAGGCAGTACAGCTCCTACAGCTTCTTCCGCCCCGACAACGAGGAGGCCATGAGAGTCCGAAAGTACGCGTGAGCCGCCCGCATGCTGCTAAGCGCTTGTGCGGGAGGGACAGAGGGGCCTGTGCGTGGCTCTCCGCCGGTGGCCGTCCGCTCTGGCTGGTGTTAGGACATGCCTCTCAGCCTCTCTGAGACTCTTTGATCTGTTCCAGATGGTCTAGCTCAGCTGATGTGAGACAGGGCGGTAGCAGTCACATCTCTTTGAAAGGAAACAGGGTCCTTTTCATGGGAAGTCATCTGTTTACATTTGCAGAGCATTTCCTTTTTAGCACAGTGATCATGAAATCCTAGTGCAAAAGTGCTCCACCCTGACTCCTGGGAAAATCCCCTGGGGAGCTTGTAAAGATCTGATGCCAGGCCCTGCCCAGGCCAGCTCAGTGAGAGCCTGTGGGTGGGCTCTGGGTGTCTGTTTTTTCACAGCTCCCCAGGGGAATGATTCCAGGGTGCAGCCAGGCATGAGACCACCCCTGAGGGTGCCTGGGCCTCAGATTGGAAGCCTCTGGGCTGCAGGAAGGGCTGGGTGCTGAGCAGATCAGAAATACTATAGCCCGGTCGTTGTGCTGCGTTCTGGGGCACCTGCCAGGGGTTGCCAGGTCTCCCCTGGTGGGTGGGCCATGCTGATGTGTGCCTTGTCTTTGTTGTGTGTTGCAGGCAGTGTGCCTTAGCTGCCTTGAGAGATGTCAAAAGTTACCTGACAAAGGAAGGGGGACAAATTGCAGTAAGTCTGGGGAACAGAGCAGGATGGTGGGTCACTGGCCTGAGCTACCGCGGGGATGCCGCAAACCGGCACAAGTGCCTCTCTGCTGAGGGTTGAGGGGAGCAGGTGCTGGAGCAGCCCAGTGACTCGGGGAGGTGGTTGTGGGGTGGAGTCAGGGACATAGTCAGGGTGTGCTCTGTCTCCCACCTCCCAGGCAGGCAGGACCTGGGTTGCTGCTATGGTAGCTGGTGGCCCCTCCAGGTGGACCTCCGCCCTGACGTGTTTGTGTGTTCTCTGGGACTCTTCCACCCCTCCCCCCATCCCTGAGTGCTGTGGGCACTGGAGGGCACAGTCTCTCCTGGAAGCATGTTTTAGGGCTTATTCCTGGGAATGACAGGTCTGACTTGCTTGGTAGTTTTGGTAAATATAGTTAAACTCAAACTTGGATTTTTTTATCCCGGCCCTTGTCCCTCCTTATCAGGTTTTTGATGCCACCAATACTACACGAGAGAGGAGACACATGATCCTTCATTTTGCCAAAGAAAATGTTTTCAAGGTGAGCCAAACATCTTATCTTGCCCCAGAGAGCTCAGAAGAGAGGAAAATTCCTCAGAGACTATTTCCTAGTTCTGCCTGCTCCATCACCTCCTGCAGCTCAAGTTTTGCTGCCTAAAACTAGGACCTTCCTTGTGGCAGGACACTGAAGGTCTTGGCAGCATCCCTGCATTGGGGAGGGCGGAGCACGTGGGCATGAGTAGGCAGTTCTGTCCTTGGGGTCTACCGCATGTGATGACATCACAGTGAGAGCAGAGTGGCCCTTGGGGGCATTGGTTGTCTACTGATGGTCCTGTCTTACTTCCACCAGGCGTTTTTCATCGAGTCTGTGTGCGACGACCCCACAGTTGTGGCCTCTAACATCATGGTGAGCAACCAGGAACCCCACTCCTGTGCAGTAGCTTAGACCACCGGGATGTTGGCAGTCCTAGAAAAGTGGGAGCGTGGGTCAGGCCCTGGAAAGTAACTAAGCCTAGAAGGAGCCGCCCCTGCCAGCTGGTTGTGGAGTGTGTCTGAGGGGTGGATACAGGGACGTCAGAAGTGCACAGCAGTGTTTAACCTGGAGGCCCATTCCGTGACCTGGACTGGCTCTGTCCAGGGCCTTGGTGGACAGCCGGCAGTATGCAGTCACAGTTGGGGCTTAGGAGGTACTGTGGGGAGACCGAGAGCAGTTTCTGTAGGTGGCAGGAGCTCAGCTTCGTGGTAGGGCAGGGCTGCCTGGGACGAAGGGCAACCCACCCTCCAGACATGAGGGATGCTGCGGCTGATGTCTTGCTGTTAAGGCCCCTGATGGGTGAGGATGTCTGTGTTTCGACAAGAGCCGATAGGACTCAGCAGCCTGGAGGCACAGTTCCCAGCCTTGGGAAGGAGGGCCATGGAAAGTTATCTCCCTCCTAATGCATCTAACGAACCTGCAACATGCCCTCCTCCTGGTCTCCCCTGTGCCCAGGGGAGCTTGCCCGGGTAAATTGGGGGCAACTGGCAGTGTAATTTGATTCCGTGTTAAGTTTTATCACTTGATAGCAATATATCATACACAGGAACGGTTACTATGAAGACTTTATCACAGGTCAGCTTCTCATGCTGTAGATGGTTTTCTCTCCAGCTTAGCATATGAGAGAATAAGACATATCTATAAAGAAAAGCAGTTCTGAATACTTTTTCTTTTTTTTTTTTGGTGGCTGGCTAGTGTGGGGATCTGAACCCATGACTTGGTGTTATAAGGCTGCGTTCTAACCAACTGAGCTAACCGGCAAGCCCCTGAATACTTTTTATACAGAGAATGCTGTGGTTTTGCTGCAGACAAACACAAGGGGTCTAGAAAGTTCATGGAGAGATTCGTGTTATCTTTTAATTTCATTTTTCTATGAACATTTTGAAGTACCCTCGTACGCATCTTTAAAGGGGATGCAAGGTGTGTGCTAACTTCCTGTGTTGGTCCTTTTCTCCAAGGCAGTGGAAATGTTTACAGGCATTTCTAAGAAATGAGTTCATATTTCAGGAAGGGCTATTTGAATTGTAGAAAATTAGTTCAGATTTGTTTCAGTGAGTCCAGAGGAAGAGGCTCAGAGTGCGTGGAAACAGACTTTGCAGTCATCTAAACAAAGGTCTTGCTGTCTTTCTTTGGTTTGGCTCTGCCTGTGCCACTTGGTAGCGAAACTCGTGCAGCTGTAGAATCAGTTCTTCCCAGTGGGGAGCTGCCCGTGGCCTTTGTGGGAGCTTAGCGCCTGTCTCATCCCGCAGACACAGTGAGCACGGGCTCTGACTCTCGATGTGCAGAAACCTCTTTCTCTGATTAAACCTCAAAGCAGCTTTGCAGGTTAGGCCCAGGAGTTTGTGAACTTAGGTTTTATTTTTTTGTGGTAGAATATACACAATGTACAATTGACCATCTTATCCTTTTTTTTTTTTTTGGCTTAATACGTAACAGTTTATTTTTTATTCTCAAAGAGTCCACCACAAGTCCATCAGCTCTCCAGGAGCCATTTTTAATGGTTCACTGGCATTAAGTACAGGCAGAGGTGTTCATTGCAGAATCCCTTGGGTTTCTGTCTCTGTCCTTCCAGCCACAGGTCTCTGTACCCCCCGGGCATCCTCCCTGTGTAATTATCAGGCTATGAATTCAGCCCCATTTCTTTCTTTTTCCTCTTAAGCGCTGGGTAGGATAATCTTTACAGGTCTCTGTACCCCCCGGGCATCCTCCCTGTGTAATTATTAGGCTATGAATTCAGCCCCATTTCTTTCTTTTTCCTCTTAAGCGCTGGGTAGGATAATCTTTACTCTGAGCCTTTCTGTGCTTTTCCCCTTTTGAGAGCCCCAAATCCTGCTTAATCTAAGCAGAAAGCCTTCCAGCGTGATTCATCAGCTGCCTCTTTGTGGTGTTACAGGAAGTGAAAATCTCCAGCCCGGATTACAAAGACTGCAACTCGGCAGAAGCCATGGACGACTTCATGAAGAGGATCAGTTGCTACGAAGCGAGCTACCAGCCCCTCGACCCCGATCACTGTGACAGGTACTGCCTGGGCGGCTGTCTTTGAATTACTCCTGTTGCTCCTAGTTGCCTTTATCAACCCTCTTTAAAAATGTCTTTTTAAAAAAAATCCTTGATTACAAACCTACATTCCGTGTAAATCTCTATTCTGATACTGTGTTGAAGTATAAAGAAGCAGATGAACATTCAAGCCCCATCTTGATACTGTCCCTCTGATAGTCCCTTTATTTAGGCGTGTACGGCCTGACGCTGCAGTTTACTCAGGGAAGGGTCTTCTGGAGATCGGCCAGGCCCCGGGGCTGGGTGTGCTGTGCCATACAGATCGGGGGTCCCTGCTGGTGTTTCTCTGCAGGGACTTGTCGCTGATCAAGGTGATCGACGTTGGCCGGAGGTTCTTGGTGAACAGAGTCCAGGACCACATCCAGAGCCGGATCGTGTACTACCTAATGAACATCCACGTGCAGCCACGCACCATCTACCTGTGCCGGCATGGCGAGAATGAGAACAACCTCCAGGGCAAGATCGGGGGTGACTCGGGCCTGTCCAGCAGGGGCAAGAAGGTAGGAGGGGAACAGGCAGGGGCTGGGGGCTGGGGGCGGCAGGAGTGAGCCCCGTCCATCTGCAGGAAAGCGGCGGGGGCTGCAGGCTGGGTGTTTTCTGCTGCTGCTTATTACTGTGCTCACTCTGTGTGCGTGTGAGTGTGTGAGTGAGAGTGGACTGGACAGGGGAGGGGAGCGCCGAGTCTCCTGGGCTCTGAGGAAGGGTACATCCTGTGGGGTTGGCCATCCTCGATGGCTGTCAGGCCCCCCACCGTCTCACCAGGGCAGCATAACTCTCTGTGGGGTGGGTGCCCCTGCCCCTGCCTCCCAGAGGATAGGCAGGAGCTGGACCCCAGCGCACCCTCTTCCCCCATGCCCTCGCAGTTTGCCAGTGCCCTGAGCAAGTTTGTGGAGGAGCAGAACCTGAAAGACCTCCGGGTGTGGACCAGCCAGCTCAAGAGCACCATCCAGACGGCGGAGGCGCTGAAGCTCCCCTACGAGCAGTGGAAAGCGCTCAACGAGATCGATGCGGTGAGGCCGGGCCACATGGCCCTGGGGGGGGGTGGCATCGCCCTGGGGGGTTCTGGGTGGCCCCTGTGGGCATGCTCCCTTGAGTGAGTGACCGCCGGGTGTCTCCCCAGGGTGTTTGTGAGGAGCTGACCTATGAGGAGATCAAAAATACCTACCCCGAGGAGTACGCGCTGCGTGAGCAGGACAAGTACTACTACCGCTACCCCACAGGCGAGGTGAGTGCCTACCCTGCCCCCTCCCTCTGCAGGCCTCTGTGCATTGGGGTGGGGGTGGGGGGACCCTACGGGACCCCTCCAGGGAGGGCACCTCACTCACTCTCCTGATCGGTTCTGGGGTTTTTCCTGCCACTTCCACCTGGGAATCAAGTCTTCCTAAATGGAACCTTGTAAACAGCCCCCAGAGCAGTGCCGGGTGTGTTTCCTACAAGCAGAGCGAGAGATGTGTTTCTCTGATGGTGCGTGGAGTGATGTGGGAAAGGACAAGGTGGAGGATGAAAGTCGCTTGGGACAGGGGTTTTTCCTGGGCCTGCAGGCAGGCCACCACGAGCTGTCACTGGAGGCACATGGGACATGGGATGCTTGCAAGACCCTGGTCAGGAGGGGAGGGAAGGAGATTGTAGAGGCCCCCGGCATGAGCAGGAGCCTCGCTGGTCTTCTTTTTTGAAGTCATAACCCTACCCCCACTTTTTACATTTGCTTATCGATATAAAATTCACATAATACAAAACCCACCACGTTAACCATGAGAAAGTGTAGAGTCAGTGGTTTTGATATATTCACGATGCTGGCAACCATCACTCATTCCAGAGCGTTTCCCTCATTCCATAAGGAAACCCCATACCTGTTAGCAGTCCCTGTTCCTCCCTGTCCCCAGGTCTACTTTCTGTCTCTGGATTTGCCTCTTCTGGACATTTCATATACAGTTGACCCTTGAACAACACAGAGGTTGGGGCACTGAACCCCCTCACAGTCAAAAATCCATGCCTAACTTTTGACGCCCCCAACACTTCTAATAGCCTACTGTTGACCGGAGGCCTCACCCATGACACCAACAGGCGGTTCACACACATTTTGTGTGTTCTATGTATTCTGTACTATATTCTTATAAAGAAAGCTACAGAAAAGAAAATATTAAGAAAATCATAAGGAAGAGAAAACACATTATAACACTGTACATGTATTTCTTGAAAAAAGTCTGCATGTAAGTGGACCCGGCCGTTCAGACTTGTGTTGGTCGAGGGTCAGCTGGAAATGGAATCCTACAGTCTGGGTGGCCTTTTGTGCCAGCAGAACATTTTCAAGGTCTGTCTGTGTTGTGGCGTGTCAGGACTTCATTCCTTTTTGGGGCTAGTATCCCACTACAGCCCACCCCTTCCCACACGCCACTGCCCCACACCCTTGGAGGGGGGTGCTCAGAGGGGGGATGGCAGGTGTAAGTCCCCTTGGAGGGTTGCTCCAAATGCAGAGCTCACCAGAACATTTTCAAGGTCTGTCTGTGTTGTGGCGTGTCAGGACTTCATTCCTTTTTGGGGCTAGTATCCCACTACAGCCCACCCCTTCCCAAACGCCACTGCCCCACACCCTTGGAGGGGGGTGTTCAGAGGGGGGATGGCAGGTGTAAGTCCCCTTGGAGGGTTGCTCCAAATGCAGAGCTCACCACCCAGGGGAGGGAGGGATGGCTTCGTCAGTGGACCTATCACGTGCTCTCTGACCTATAATGCGGGGTGCTGTGGGTGGTGGCTGAGCTCTTCCTGGGTGCCCTCTGCTCTGACGCGGTGTCCCTGTCCCTCTGCGGCCAGTCCTACCAGGACCTGGTCCAGCGGCTGGAGCCGGTGATCATGGAGCTGGAGCGGCAGGAGAACGTGCTGGTCATCTGCCACCAGGCTGTCCTGCGCTGCCTGCTGGCCTACTTCCTGGACAAGAGCGCAGGTGCCGTGGCGGGTGGTGCCCAGGATGGAGGGGGGAAGCTGTCGTTTCACACCACAGACAGATGCTCCATAAAATGGCTTCTGAAAACCCTCAGCTTCATTCATCTTGAGGTCTTTGGGTTTGGCGTGTGGAGTGGGGGCAGCTTTTCTCTTCCACCTGCCTCCAGGGAGCAAACAGCCCAGAAAACTCTGATGCTACTACTAAAATTTTAAGTCTTGTGTCTGTCTGAGGTTCACCTCTATCCCTAGACAGACCTAAATTGTTTGGGGAATGCCTTATATTTTTTCAATTCTAACTCGGCATGAGGGTGGCTTTTTGGTTTGTTTGATTGTGTTTTTTTGGCTAGGTGTCTTTTTCTAGGGCCTGGGTGCCTGGCGGGGGTGGGGGTGGCTGCCCTATGCAGGCATGGCTTCAGAGGGTCCACACGTGTCAGGAGCTCGCGTGCTGGGCCTGCAGGGGTCCCTCCATGCCTCAAGTCTCATGTCTAACTGTGGGACTGTTTCTCTCTCCTCAGAGGAGATGCCCTACCTGAAATGCCCTCTTCACACCGTCCTGAAACTGACACCCGTCGCCTATGGTGAGTAGCGGCCCTGCCAAGCTCTGCCCCTCGGTGGCTGTGGGCAGGAAGTGGCTGTCCTTTAACAGAAGCTGTCCTCTCTTCTGTCCCATGTCCCCAGGTTGCCGTGTGGAATCCATCTACCTGAACGTGGAGTCCGTGAGCACACACCGGGAGAGGCCAGAGGTGAGTGTGGGCCCCTCAACACCCCCAGCCTGGCCCTCATCATGCAAAGGGCTTTCGTGGAGGGAGGGGACCCCTCAGAAGTCCCTGTGACTGGCGACCCGTCGAGGCCAAGGCGGCCTTCGCTGGGCTCTCAGGAGGGTGGTTTCTTTGCAATCGTCTGGCCAGCCGCCTTCCCTGTTGCTTCTGCAGCTCCTCTGCGCTCCTGCCCTTCCTTCCTGTGGCTGCTCAGGATCTTCTTTCTCTGTCTTTCCACGCTCTCTTCCCCCACTCCAACTTGACCCCAAGTACTAAATAGCAAGATACGTTCTCTAATTTGAAACACAAGCGTAGCACAGTTATTGTTGCCTTTTCTTTCTGGGTGGCTAAAACTGTGCTCTCAAGTTCCAGAGACACTGGTCCACACAGCGTCAGCAAGACAGCGTGACTGTCTGCACGGGTGTAGGTACAGACTCGCCAGGAACAGGGTCATGTGGAGAAGGGATGTGTCCGAAAGAGCGACAGGCATGAGGGTGGTGGATAGACGTTTTCAGGAGACCCCAAGGCCCGGCTGTCATTTTCACCTTGGGGAGGCCTGACATTTGGTGGTCGGTCAGGGCACACTTGTCACTGAGTGGATGGGCTCCCTGCTCAGGGGTGTGTTGTGAAAGCAAGTTTGAACACACTTCATGCAGGCTGTTGAAACACAATGCTTTGCAGCACTAGTCAGCCCTTGCTCTCACACCAAGCATGACTTTCTGTCTGTGGAGTTGCCCAAAACAGGTGACTTCCCAATCCCAAGGAGCTTGGCTATCAGAATGTGGCAGCGAGGGGACGAGAGATGTCAGCCCAGTTAACTGCCCAGTCTCTGCTGGCAGTTGCCTGGCTGGTGACTGAAGCCAAAGAGGATGATGTCCCTTGGCTGTCTTGCCCAGCCCCTGTACCCCCTCCTCTTCTGAGCAGGGGTAACCAGGGGCTGCCCTTACCTGAGCTGTGAGCCTGGATCCCGCACGCGCTCCGCACTGGGGTCAGGCCTGAGCCAGCTCCTGTGGTCCCGGATGCTTCCCGGTGGAGAATGGAGACAGGGCTGTGACAGAGATCGACCCCAACTGTGAGGCTCCTGGCCACTGCTTCAGGGACTCCCGGGGGCCCTGCTCCATCAAATGGTCCCTCAGGTTGGAAGGTTGGTGTCTGGTCCCGGCCGGCAGCTCTGCTTCTGCAGATTTTCTGCATCTGGTCTCCTGGCTGGTTTTGAAGCCTCCACGTCCCGTTTTGAGCCAGGGATTGTTTATGTGAGGATGAACGCTCCATGTGTGCTCTGCAGATCCAGGCTCAGTGGTCAGGTCAGCTGTAGGGAGTCGTGGTGACACCTCCTCCTCCGCTGCTGTGAGCCCAGACCCGGCCTCTCCTCCCAATCTGTCCTCCTCTGCTCTCTGGGAGACTGGAAGCTAGGTTCTTCCCCTTGACCTCGCTCTCTGCTGGGATCGTAATCATTTCCTTCCCTGCTTTGCAAACGTCGCATCTGTCCATGTGTGTGTCCTTTGGAACAGTCATCACCGGCTCTTGCTGCCTGGGAGTCACAGCGCATGTGGTGGTCGTGGCCCAGGGCCACTTGCCTTGGTCGATCTTGCATCTCTAGAGTCCAGGAGCAGAGGAACTTTTTTGTGGCTTATTTACCTCCCCCTCCTCGTAACTGTCGCCTTCTCTCTTTTGTCTTTGTCTCGCTTAGGATGCAAAGAAGGGACCTAACCCGCTCATGAGACGCAATAGTGTCACCCCACTAGCCAGCCCCGAGCCCACCAAAAAGCCGCGCATCAACAGCTTTGAGGAGCATGTGGCCTCCTCCTCTGCTGCCCTGCCCGGCTGCCTGTCCCCGGAGGTGCCCACCCAGCTGCCTGGACAAGTCAGTGGAACCCCTGTCTTTCTGGATGGGGGAGCGGCCTGGGGCGAAGGCCTCAGATCGTGCATGTGCTGTGTCCGTGTGGATGCCTGTGTCGGTTGTACGTGTTGCGAGTTTGGGGGTGTGTGCACACACTCGTGTGTTGGGGTGGAACGTGAGAAGCCCCTCTAAGGTTGAGACACTGGGGGCCTTTCCCTTCTGAGGATGACTGGGACTTTGCTTCCTTTCTGAGGACATGGACTTTACTGGGCAGAACCAGGCAGAGCAGAAGAAATAGTGAGATGTCCGGGTCTCCTTCACATTCTTCTTTTGTTTTTGTTTTCTTTTTGGCCACTGGCTGGTACAGGGATCCGAACTCTTGACCTTGGTGTTACAACACCACGTTCTAACTAACTGAGCTAACCGGCCAGTCCTCCTTCACATTCTTGAGTAGCTATTTTTCAAGCAAAGTCAACAGCAAACCCCCCCAGTCCAGAAGTCTGCATTCAGCTCTGGACCTGCGGGCGTCCGTCCATGTGGGCTGAGGACATCTTTTCTGTCCCACCTCATGGCTGAGTATTTCATCTACCCTCTTCCCTTGTCACCACTCCGTTCCAGAAGAGCTGTGGTCTCACAGGCCCTGGATCCAGCCTGGCAGCCTGGCCCTCAGGCTGGATAACTGGGAAGGAGCCACTTTCTCACATCATGTAGTTATTTCAGCAGGTAGTAAAAAACCAAAAAGCCCCCCAAACCCGATCGGATTTCACTTATTTTATTAGATCTGAAGATTAAAGGCTGGAAGATTTTGGTTGTAAGGCATTAAGATTTGTTTCAGGGCTGGCTGGTTAGCTCTGGTGGTTAGAGTGTGGTGCTGGTAACACCAAGGTCCAGGGTTTGATCCCTGTACTGGCCAGCTGCCGAAAAAAAAAAAAAAATTTGTTTTCAGAAAACCAGTCTTTTCCTCAAACACAGCCAAATATATGAGATGTGGAAACCTCTGGGCTCAAATTTAGGTACCTCCTGAGGGTTCCCCCCACCCATGTCTGGCTTCTCACAACTAACTTGTGAGCTAAATTCTGAATTGGGTTGTTAATGAGCTGATATCAGGGCCACGTTGGCACCTTCTCTGCAGCCTGCCAGCACTTCTGCCTATCCCCAGAGCCTCCTTGTACCTGGCCGTGTCTGGACCGTGACATGGGGAGAGTGTGGGAGCCTGTGAAGGTCACTAATCCTCTCCAGGCCTCGGTCTCCTCATCTGAGGAATGGGGGAATAGCACCTACCTAGGAGCCAGAGCACATGAGGAGATTCATGCCACGTGCCTGATGTGGTGCCGGGCGTGTGGTGAGGGCCCTGTGAGGTGAGGTGGTCGTGGCCAGCCGGAGCCTGCAGACCTGGCTACGGGTGTAGCTCTGCAACTGGTGTGAGCCACGAGCATAGGATTTATGTTTTTTTATTTTCTGGCAGCTGACTGGTACAGAGATTGAACCCCAGACCTTGGTGTTATCAGCACCATGCTCTAACCACCTTAGCCAACCAGCCAGCCCCACGAGCTTAGGATTTTAATTGCCAGGTTACTTCACCTCCCAGGCCCTCTGTCTTCTTAGCTTTGCAAATGAGGGGTAGGACTGGGGGATGTCTCATAAATGTTCCTTCAATGAAAGCTGAGCGGAACTGAAAGGGTGTCTTCATGACATTCTGTTCTTCTGTAAACGTGGGGGCGTATTTGGAAGTTCAGAGGCCACTTTTGTGTAGATGTGGGGGAACTAGTCTGGGCAGGGGTGGACTGTGCTGACCCCAGCCATGGAGGACATGGGGGCAGGGGTCCTCTCCCCCTTTAGAGCTGGCTGCCCCTGAAGTTGACAGGACAGCCCTGTAGGGTGGCCAGGTGCGGGAGGTTTGGCCGGGCTCTGTCTCAGTAGATCTTGCCCTGTGTCCCGACTGACTTCTCTCTACTTTTTCTCTCTGCAGCCTTTGCTAGGGAAAGCCTGTCTGTAAGTATTTCTGAATAATTCTGCTGCTTACACCTATTTCTTCTCACTTGCTGATTTGGCCTCCTGCTTCTTAAAATATTGAGGATAAGGATAGTTTCTGTGAAGTCTGAGGTCTTCCGTGATGGGAAGCGGGAGAGGGATTCGTGGATTTTGGGGGAAGGGTGCAGCTGGCTTTCCTTGTGTCCGATGCTGCTGCTTCACCGCAGGCTCCTCCGTCCCTCTGGGTTCCAGGTTGTTGTGTGTAGCGGCTGCAGTCTGGGCTTGGCATATGTCCAGATGTTCCCTCTTGGAGTCAGGTTTGGTGATGAGCTAGGGCTGCACTTGCTACCATTGCCTTTGAAGCTCCCTCCCCTCCGCTAGGAACGTCCTTTCATTTTGAAAGGAAAATTTGCCCAGAACCTAATCTGCAGAACATGTACATGAGGACGCACTTGGGTGGGGTGTGGGGTGTGGGAGGCCGGAGCCCTGCAGCCTCCCTGCCCTCCGAGAAGCCCCCTTACCCTGTACAGCTGCGTGTGGCAACCGCCCTTCGGGATCTGGTTGTCCTGTGTGGGAACCTTCTCGGTGTGATGGTCGGGTTCAGGATTAGGCGCTTTCTGGGTCATTGTGAGCTCCAGCAGCCACTGGGTAGACAGCTCCACAATTCCATCACTCCACAGACCCCCCGCCACAGAGGAGCTGAGGCCTTCCTGTCACAGAGGTTTAGCAACAGCCACCATAAAACATCACCCCCACCCTGCAAGTCACACCTCCCTGTTAACCCATTTTTGTTCATCTGGTTACCTTCACTAGTTTACGCAGAGACTAGAAAGGTTTGGGGAGCTGAGATGTGTGGCTTGTTTTGGGAAATCTGGAATGGGTGGCACCGGGCTTAGGTTGTGGTGGCATCCCATGTAGTGGAAGTGCCACGTGGGGCTTTATAGCTCACAAAGAATGTGCTGGTACATCCTCTACCTCTCTGGCCCTTAAACTAACCCCAGGGGGTTGGCAGGGCTGTCACTCCCCATTGAGTACATGAAGGCTGAGGCTGTGGACTTGTAAGTGGCAGAACCAGGAAGCTTCGGAAGGCTGGCCACGTCCTCTCTGCCAGCTCCCAGGGGTGGCCAGCGTGCTGCTCCCCCTCCGCTGTCCTGACGCCCCTGACCCCGCAGCCCTGGGTCCCTGCTGGCAGCTGCTGGGCTCTGGTTTACCTCCATAGCTGCTGCCTTGCAGCTGCTTGCTGGGTCAGTTTTGTTCAGCTAGCAGTATGCCTGTCCATGTGATGTCTGCCTTTAAAGAGTGAGATGTCATCACAGTCCAGTGCCTGTTACCCCCTGAAGCCAGCACTGCAGTGCAGGGGCTGCCCCTGGGCTAGGGGGTCTCCTGGCATGAAAACTCACCATTGGGGCGGCATCTTCTGCTTTGCATCTGTGCATGTCCTGTTCCTTTTGACCCAAATCTTCCTACTGGAAGGGGCTGTTTGGGTACACACCCCCCCTTCTAAAGTTGAACTTACCCATCTCTGAGGCTAATATCATAGTGGCTTTGACTGGAATCCCTCCAGTTCAGCAAGCGTAGGTCCTATGGACCCATTGCACTGGCTGTTTGGTTAGAATCCCTCTCTGGAGCCTGCAAGTCAGCCCAGTGTGGGAGTGGGACTCTGGGTCTGGGACTGTAGATTGGCCTGGTCCCAGTACCCAAAATTTATTGTCAAAGTCAGATGGAGCCAGATTTGCATCTTGGTTTTACTACTGCTGCTCTCTTTGGAACTCTGGGCAAGTTAAAGCAATTCTAGGACCTCAACTTCCTCATCTGTAAAATGGGATAATAACTTTATAAGGGGTTTGATAATGAAGGTGTAGCCACAGCACTTAGCAAATATCTGGCAACTACTACTTACGGCTGCTTTTGTGATCAGGAGGGTCTCGGTGCCCTGGGCCATGGGGGGCACTTCCAGGGCTCTGGGTTCTGATGTTCTGTGCCTTCTCTACCAGGCTGGTGGCCTTTCTTCTCAAGGGCAGCTGGAGCACTCAGACTGGGAATGGGGCAGTCCCCGAGGTCTGAAGCTGGTGGTCTTGGTTTCGTAGTAAAGTGCTCTACAGGGTCTTCTGGAGGCTGCTAGGGATACAGAGACCACCTGGCATTCCCAATGCATCCTTCGTTTTAAAATTTCAAATGCACACCAGTAAGAAAATTCTACTAAAGATGTTTTTTTTTTTTTTTTTTTTCCAACCTGTTTCTTCCTCTTCCCCACTCTGCTTGAAAGACGAACTGTCTGTCACATTTTCTCAAAGTTTTCTCCTTACTAACCTTGGAAAGGTAAATGATGGGTGCATGTCTCTCTGTCCCCTCCTGCATCTCTCGAGTCATGGCATCCCAGCATAGGGCGTCCTGGTCCATGTGCAGAGTGGCCATCGTGGATATGTGGCTCATATGTCTCAGTGCTGAGGTTTTAAGGGCAGTGCCATTGTCATGAGGTCCTTCAGTCTGTCTCCTCTCCCTCCATGTGTCCTGGGCTAGGGCCCCCAAGTGAATGGCATGGTGTAGCCCGGCCTGCATCTCTCTGGTGTTGTTGTTGCCTCTCCATCGTGTGTGGGTACATCTGAGGGCAGGCCAGAGCCAGCAGTGCAGGGGGAGGCGGCAGCCCCTCGCTCTCCCACCCATACCCTGGCTGGGGCTCTCTCTAGATGGGAGGACCCAGGGCACCCCCAGGAGACCCACCATCTCACAGAGGGATCCGGTCACCCAGGCTCCAGAGCCCAGCACAGATCTAAGCAGTGGCTATGGCACTGCCCAGGCCTGCAATTCCCTTCTAGAGACACCTGCAGACGGGCCCTCGCTTCCGCGTGGGGTGGGAGCAGGCAGCGGCGATCCTTCCTCTCTGTCTGCCTGGGCTCTGCTTTCTCCACTACCGCCTTAGTGGAGACACTCAGAATAAGACAGAATACTTTAAAAAATGGTATATGTCATTTTTTTGAAGGGTAGATTAGGGAGATCAGGGAAAGAGACCCCAGCAGTGAAGTGGCAGCAATTGTGTGTCCCCAGCTGATTTAAGAATATTTTTAAGGGGGTTTTGATACTGGCCAGTGCCTTGGGTGGGGCTTCCTGCCAGGGTCACTTTGATCAGAGCTGGGACAGAGCATTAGTGATGCAGCCTCCCCTGCCTGGCTCCCCACCTGGGTCTCCCTGCCGCGTCCAGCCATCCACGCATCACTGTGCTCCCCTCTCGCGCGTTCCCAGAATCTGGGTACGCAGAGCTGTGTGTGTGGCTCTTCTTCCACTGGAGCCACAGAAGGATCCTCTGCTTCTTCAGAGGCCCTGCTCGTTCCCTGCCTGGCCGTGGCTGGTGAAGGCCCTGGGCTTCTAAAGGACTCCTGAGGCTGCCGGCACCCAGCTCTGTCTGAGCCGTCGGAGCTGCTGGGGCCGGAGCCATGTGACCTTCCCCACTCTCCTTCCTGCCTCCTGCAGGCAGGCTACTGACCTTGTGCCCAGCTATCCCTGTGACACTGGGGACATCCTGCGTCATGTTCTGGGACCTGCCTGGGCTCTCTCCACCTGTCTGGTTGAGGACCCTTTTCTTGGGCTGTGTTCCTTGTTTGGGTGGAGGGAGGGGAAGAAGTCTCAGCTGCGTGGCTCTGAGCTTTCTGCTTTAGAAATACAGTCAGTGGCAAGTTGTAATCCCCTCTCCACTCCTCTTTTCTCCCCCGCACAGAATATGAAAGGCTCCCGGAGCGGCGCTGACTCCTCCAGGACACCCTGAAGCAGTGCATTGAGTTCCATTTCATTTCCATTTCTGCAGCTTAGCTTGTGCCTTTCCACCGACCAAGGCCAAGATGATCCCAAGGACTTTTGGAGTGGGGTGGGTGGAGTAGAAGGGGGTCTTGCTAATTGAATGGAACCTGTGCACGCTTCCCCCCCTCCCTGCCCTACCCACTACACTTCCACAGCCTGAGGGTGGCTGGGACTCCAGGAAGCTGTGTGGATCCGTGGGGTCCTCTGCTCTTGGGTCTTCCAGGGGTGTCTGACCTCAGAGACCACCACCCCCCGAGGCTTGGATGATTAGTAGCAGAGGAGGTGAGGGAGGGCCCTGCAGAGGGGACACCGCTGTGCGGTTATACTTCGTTTGTTTCTGTGATCTTGGCCTGGCATGTTGGTAGCCAGGGAGATGACACAGGCAGGAATCCTAAAATTTAGGACAGCTAGGTCCTGGTTGCTGAAGGTCAAGGGATGTTTAACCATGTCCATATGACTCCTTGTGCATACTGGCCCGGGAAGACACCTTGAGCACAACAGCCTTGGAAAAGTGCCGGAGGGTCCTCTTCTCCGGAGAAATCCCTGAGCTGCAACTGCCTGTCTGCGAAGCAGTCACACCCTGGCTCTCCCACATGTCCACACGCCTTCCAGGCCTGTGTTCTGCCCCTGAAGAAGACATCAAAGGACAGATGGGCTGTGCAGGTGAAAGGAAGTGTTCTGATGAAATACGGCCACTGGGCACCTGTCTCCTGGGGAGCTCTGTGGTCCCTCTGCTCTCCTGCCTGGACTTGGAGACACCGGAGAGAATCGGTCTTGGGGCTGCTTGTTTTTGCACTTTTCTCATGCAGAAGTATGACCTGGAAGTCACACCTTCTCTTCCGGAACATTGCTGTTTGGGGTTGATGCCCTTGGGGCTTGGGGGCTTGGAGGATGTGGGGAGGTGGGCGTGTCTAAGAGGTGGGCAGTGTCCGATTCATGGGGATCTCTGTAGAGGAGAAGAACCCCGGCTTGCTTCCTGCAGGACCGGCATCACTGCCCATGTTCCCCAGGTAGAGACGGTGGCCATGCAAGGCCTCACTCCAGGCTGCTTCCTTCAAGAGGGTGTCTGCATGTTTTGTCCAGTGTCTGAATACCTTGGGGTGTTCAGAAGCATGGAGCATGTCCTTGGCTTCCCTCTGTGGCATCTGTGATGTTTTTGCGGGTGTTGAAAGCAGGGCTAAGGGGACAGGTGTTCTCAGAACCTGTCGGTTTCTCCTTGTTGCCTCAAAACACTGGGGTTGGAGAGGGTGTCCTGTGCCCAGAAGGAGCAACTTGGAAGCTCAGCAGAATATGTCCAAATGACCCTCTTAAAAATGTCTCAAAGCTGGTGCCAAAGGTCACTTTTCTTTCTTGCCTTCTGCTTGTGAGACCTGAGACCCTTCCCCTCCTGGCTCATGGGGGTGTCCCAGGTGAGGGTGGGGGACCTAAGACACCTGAAGCTGGGAGTCGAGAGAAGAGCTATTTTTGTTTGTTTTTTGAGAGGAGCTTCTACAGAATGCATGTTTCCTGGGTAGGGATTAAGGGGAGTGGGGACATGCTTCAGATACCATACAGTCTAGTTTGTGGCTTTCACACCGGACCATTCCCATGTGACCCCCTTCAATTGGCTGTCTGCTTGAGAGGATGTCTATGTGTACATTCCTGGGCAGCTTGAGGCTCGGACTGTTGTCTCTCTATCCCAGTATCCTGAGTCGTGTGTGTGTGTGCATGTGCGTGTGTGCCGGTTGGTTGTATTTTTAGACAAAAGGGCCTGCAGCTTTGCTCTTGAGAACAGTTTATGTCCCACTCTCTGGCCTCATCCTCTCTGTAGCTGCCGGAGTTGACTCTTTGAATGTAGACTGTTCAGTCTGATCCAGGGAGGGGCTTCAGGAAGCTGTGTCCCCTCTCACCTCTGACTCCCTGAAATCCATATGTAGACAAAGGTTTTGCCTAACATAAGACTTTAGTTTATAAGGGCCTAAATGGGGAGAGAGGGAACCTAAATATGGACAGGAGGGGCGATCTTGGAGAAAGCAGAGCACTGCTGAATTTGAAAGCATGTAGTCACCTGACGTTGGAGGAGGCATGGGATGGAGGGGGCTTGAGCTGCAGTCTTGGAACTTTTGCTTCCTCTGAACCCCCCCCGCCCCCCCCCAAAAAAACCCGGGACCAATGTTTTTAACTTTGGATATTTGTTTTTGGGTGGATTTCCTTCTCTCCTTATTCTGTCCTGAGACCATGGGCAAAGCTCTGCATTTTGGGGGGAAAAGAAAAACTGTTTGAACCACACCAATGATATTTTCGTTTGTAATACTTGAAATTTATTTTTTTATTATTTTGATAGCAGATATGCTATTTATTTATTTAATATGTATAAGGGAGCCTAAAAATAGAAAGCTGTATAGATTGGGTTTAGTTGTTCATTGGCTTGGGGGCCTTTTATGTGTGACTTATGACTTCTCTGTGTTCTGTTTTTGTCTGAATTGATGACCTGGATGAAGCTATGCTAGCTTTCAAACAGGGGATGCCTTTCAGAAATTTGTATATTTTGCAGTTGCCAGACCAATAAAATACCTGGTTGAAATACACTGATGAAGTGCACTTCGGATTCTTTTATGGGGGGAAGAAGCGTCTTTAATTGACACGTACAGTCCGTGCACCCCTGAGTTCCTGGCCTCCCCTTCATTTTTGTCCTTTACACAAGACATTCAAATACCGATTGTCTAATGCCTGTGTTTGGGAAAGAATAAGCCATGTCATTTTTTAATTACTAGACTTCATTTTTTAAGGTTGTTTGAGGTTGACAGATGAGCAGAAGGACGGAGAGCTCCTGCATACCTCCTCTGTTAACACCTCGCGTTAGTGGGGTGCATTGGTAGAACTGATGAGATAGTGTTGGTGCATTATTAGGAACTGGAGTCCATGGTTTGTGTTAGGTTTCTGCCCCCTGTTGTACATTCATGGGTTTGACACACACATCACGCCGGGTATCTGCCACCACTGTGGTGTCGCACAAAACGCCCTGTTGGTTTTTATTCCTTTCCTTCTGAGTCCTTTCAAACAGCTGCAGCTCTTACACAGCACTCCATCCCACAGCAGGCCCCAGGCAGCAGTGTGGGAAGGTGAATTTCACTTCAGGTTCCTTTCACTTCCTGCCCTTCCCACCCCCTTCTTCCCTTTAAGTTCCCACAGGGAAAACTTCCATGAGCTTCTGCAGCTTTGCTGCTCATCAGTTCCCAGAAGCTGAGCCATTACTTCACCTCTGGGCTTCAGTGTGTTCATCCTGCAAACCCAGCAGGAGGGGGACTGAGTGAGAACATGTGGGGTTAAGGGACCCTGGGACATTTCTTTCGGGCTCAGCTGAGTCACTCTGCGGCTGTGGGGACAGGAAAGATGCAGCCTCTGGCTGAGCCACTTTTCCAGGCCTTGGGGGTGAGGCAGCCAGGCCCCTGGGGGCCAGTGCACCTGGGGGCCAGTGCACCTGGGGCATGCCCTGCCCTCTGCAATCTCCCTGCTTCCTCTGCCTGTTTCGGCATAACATTCATAACTCAATCTGTCCACTTCCCAAGCTTAAACCGCTGGAGAAAAGACACCCGCTTCTGCCCCGAGAGACACCGGGCCCTGGAGACTCGTGCTTCGTCCATTTGATCCATGGCTTCACCCCATGGCTGACCTGGCCTTGCTTGAGGGTGGCCCTGACTAGGCCAGTGTGGCTTCTTAGCCTTTTGACCTCCTAGCTGGGGGCCCAGCCAAACGGGGTTCTGCCTAAACAGTTAGAAGTCGGCGCCCATCGGTTGGAATTCAGTGGCTCTTAATCAGAGTTGCACATCACGATCCCCCGGGGAGATTGTCCAAAATGCAGACATCCTGGTCTCACCCTGGACGGTTGTAGCTTTTAATTTGAGAGTTCAAGGCACCTATATTTGGGGATGGGGGAGGGTTGTGGTGCCTTATGCGAGTCTGAGAGATACCAGTTGAAAACCAGTGGCCCAGACTGGCCATTATAGGTAACAGCACAGTGCATCCACTTATATGCTGTGTCCAGAACGGTCAGCCTCATGGCAGCAGAGAATGGGGGTTGCCAGGGGCTCTGGGGAGGGGGATATGGGGTGTTGTTTCTCAGTGGGTGTAAAGTGTCAGTTGCGCCAGGCGGAACAGTTCTAGAGATCTGCTATTCAACATAGTACCTATAGTTCACAATACGGTATTGTGCATTTTAAAATATGTTAAGAGGATAGATTTCAAGTTATCTGTTCTTACCAAACAAACAAACAAACAAAACCCAGAAGAACAGAAGGAAATTTTTAGTACCTTGGTTGTGGTGATGGTATCACAGGTGAATGCATAATGTTTTATAGATCAGTTATAGCTCAATAAAACTTTGAAAAAGAGAAAGAACACACACACACACACACACACACACACAGAGCAGGACTGTCCTGCAAATGTCTGCAGCTGTGCAGGGCAGCCTTGTTTACTGTGGTCCCTGGAGCAGAGGTGGGGACATAATGGTGGAGGAACAGCCTTCACTCCCGAGAAGTCTACAGTTTCTGGTGAGTGGAGTTCTTAAATGTGGAGGCATAGTTCCCTTAAAATGTGAGTGCATGTTCTCATAATAAGATTTCATCCCTTTCTTCCAAAGACTCCCGCCTCCCTGACACACACATTTAACTCAGGTGGTCAGATACTGATTTCTTCCCTCAGAGGTTTCTGCTAGGTAGAAAGCTAATGCAGCCTAAAGCACGAAACTCCCTGTCCCTGTCCTCTCCTTCTTTTTAAAATTAATAACCTTTATATTTTTGAGCAGTTCTGGGTTCACAGAAACTCCCTGTCTTTCATGGAAGCCAATATATTGCTATTGAGGAGGCTCAGAATTAAGTTGATTTGAAGAAAACAATGCTAGAACATATATATATATATATAAATACTTAATTTTTTTGGACTGAGATTTGTTATCTCCGACACAAATAATCAAGTTCCGGTATGAATCCATCAGTCCCTTTTCAGTAAGGGGCCAAATTCAGAAATATTCTCTTCTAAATTCTACATCCAGGGAGGGGACATGGGGAGAGGGTGGTCAGTGGACACTAAATCGTAGAGAGATGAGAAGAACAAGATCTCGTGTTCTGTAGCAATACAGGGAGACCGCGGCCAACCACAAATTTACTGAATTACTTTGAGTAACTAGACAAGAGGATGTTGACTGTTCCTGTTACTGACAGGCCAGGCTCGGCATGCCCTCTCGCATTAAACAAATGACCTGAAAGTCCAAAAGTTGGTGCAAGGATTGGAAGGTTTATTCAGATTACCGGTACTCAACTAAATGTCTAATCAAGCAAACAAACAAATGGAAAAGAGGAGCAGTGGGGTCCAGTTTAGTCTAGTCCCACTCAGCGGGGCCAACCTGTTCCACTGACAGTAATTGATAAAAGCAGTTCTCCCCACTGTTTTCTTCTTTTCACAAAGAAGAAAAGTATCGACTAGATTTAAATCAGAGAAACAAAGCATAGCCAGGAGCCCTCCAGGGTGCACCTACATAGTAGTGGATACAATCCAACCAAACCGCAGGAGAGGGCTCAGAAAATCAGAGAAAGGTAAAGAGAATAAAGCATTGCCTTGTCAGAATTTAGGCCAGGGACTCCAGGAGAGATCTACCAGCAGCAGAGACATGGGAGCAAAATAGTCCCAGTAGCCACATGCCTCTTGCAGCTACAGTCTTCTCTGGTGGCCAAAGCTTTCCAATTTTTGTCAATGATTAAATTAGGCTCTCAGATTCCAAAGTCATAGAAATGAACAATGTACCCAATAGTAAAAGCAAGCAACGCTTTATTAAAAGAGGAGACAGACTTATGCATAAGCCGGTAGCGACAGTAAAGCTAGCCCCCCGAAGGGAGCTGTTCAGAGTCTTTTATAGGGAAAGGAGTTAAGGGGTACAGGCCAGCGTCACTGTAGGTGGTCCGTTCTGTTCTTCCCAGTTGCATCATGGGCACATGCTCAGTAGGTCCCAGATGGCAGTGGTGTTCATCATTGTCACCCCAGGAGGGTCATTGTAGCAGTCACCTTGATGCTTTGTGCGCAGGTGGGAATTCCTAAAGGGGTCTTAAGGTTAATCTGTAACTTTTACAATTATAGTAAACAAGCCTTGGGGAGGGGTTTTGCAACACAGTAAATATCTGTCTCCTCTCTTATCTCAGTCTATTTTGTCAGGGCAGCCCATAGGGTAATCATTTGTCCTGGGGGTCTCATGACTGAGGAGTGGAAAAGTAACAAAGTGTCCTCTGCAGGGAAAATGGAGTCAGTTTGGTTCACAGGCCTAGCCCTACTCTGTTTCATTCCCAACACAAAGAGGTGATGAAGGTTTGAGGCAATGAATATGCTAAATACCCTGTTATGATCATTGCACACAGTATACATGTACCCAAATATCATATTGTATTCCATAAACATATGCAATTATCATGGATCAATTAAGAAAAAAGAAAAAGAAAAAAAAAACATTTCAGAGACAGAGTAGTTTAGAGTTTCCTGGAAACAGCAGAGAAGGAATAATGAGAAGTTATTGCTTAATGGGTACAGAGTTTATGTGTAGTATGATGATAAAGTTTTGAAAATAGATAGAGGTAGCGGTTACGCAACATGTGAATGTAACCAATTCCATGCAATTGTATGTTTAAAAAAGCTGAAAATGGAAATTTTTAATGTTATATATGTCTTACCACAATAAAAAAAAAGTCGTAAATAAATAAATTCTACATCCAGTGCATCAGCAGATGAGCTGGTGAACCTTCTCATATGCACATGTCCACCCACTTCCCACCACCTCTGTCACTCTTGCTGGAGACGCCACCGTCTGCTGCCTGAGTCCCTGCAATCCCCATCTTGTTTCCACTCCCTGATCTGTGTCAACATCACAGCCAGAGTGATCTTCTGAAGTGTAAGTTGGATCTCGCCACTCTTCTCAAAGTCTTTCCATGGCTCCCATCTCAGGAGAGGCCAAAGGCTCTCCCATGGCCTCCCCGAGGCCCCGCATGTGATTTAGTTCCCATGTGCTGTCCGATCTCACTTCCTTCCTCTCTCTCTCTCTCTCTCCCCCCGTTTCTCTCTGTCTTGCTCTGCTCTAGACACACAGGCCCCTGGCAGCTCCTTGAGCTCGCCTCAGGGCCTCTGCACCTGCTCTTCCCTCACCTGGAAGATCTCCCTGGATACTTGTAGCAGTCTGTTTCTGTTGCTAATTACAGAATACCTGAAACTGGGTAATTCATAATGAAACAGTATTTAATTCTTATAGTTTAAAAGGCTGGGAAGTCCACAGTCGGGGGAATGCATCTGGCGAGGGACTTTGTGATGGGTGGTAACTCTCTATAGGGTCACAGGGTGTCACATGGTGAACAGGCTGTGCAAGAGAGCTCACCTCCTCACTTGCTCTCCTTTGAGAGCCATCAGAACCACACCCATTACTTCCATTAAACCTCCAATGGATTAACCCATTCACAAGGGCACAGTCCTCACAATCTAATCACCTCTTAAAGGCCCCACCTTTCAATTCTATGATAGAATTTCCCACCTTCTTAACACTGTCACAATGGGG